CCTTTTCTCGTTGAGGCACAGTTGACACTAGTAACATTCCGCTTGCGCTTACCTACTACGTGGAAGCTTTACAACGCTTTCCATGTTCAGCTACTGAAGACCTACAAGGACCCCAACCAACATTTCCAGAGACGGCAGCTACCGCCACCGCCACCTGTTCTTATTCAGGATGAACCGGAGTATGAAGTGGAGCGCGTTCTCACTCATCGGCACGGCGGCGGCAAGAACCTCGAGTTCCTGATACGCTGGAAGGGATATGACCCCACTGAGGTTAGTTGGGTTGTTGAAGCTGATATGGGCAACGCACGCCGTGCTCTCAAGGACTATCTTGTAAAGCAGGGTGTATCTCACGCCACCGAGCTTTGAGGGGGGGACGTGTGAGATTACGACGGCTTATGTTAGCTTTGCTAGCTTGCCTGAACTTTATTATGCTATTACTAGCTTGGGCTTTATTTATCATGCATAGTTATGCTTGATTTCCTAGGTTAGGTGCATTCCTATATTTTATTATAGTTATAGCACCGAACCAGGTTACTTGTACCGAACTCAAGCCTTTTCGGTTGCCACCGAATTGCTTTTTTTCTGAGTTCGGGAAGGTTCTGTTCGGGGCGCTTCGCGACCCTCAAAACATTTGCGTAATATCTGGGTAACTTGCCTTGTGTCGAGACTATATATAGCCTCGTCTTGTACCCAGGTGAATCATTCAATTCAAACTCTCTTTCCTGAACTAGATTCTAGATCCTCACAGGACGGGACGGTACGGGCAGCACGATGCGCTGACGGGAGGGAGGGACGGGACGGGCAGCGCGACGCGCAAGGGACAGGACGGACGGGCAGCGCGACGCGCAGGGGACTGGATGGGACGGGCAGCGTGACACGCAGGGGATGGGAGGGGCAGCGCCACGCGCCGGGCAGGGGGGGCGACAGGCAGGGGACGCGACGGGCAGGGGACGGGACGGGCAGGGATGCAACGGGCAGGGGACGGGATGGGCAGGGGATGGGACGGGCAGGGATGCAACGGGCAAGGGACGGGATGGGCAGGGGATGGGACGGGCAGGGGACGCGACGTGACGGGCAGGGGACAGAACGAGGGGCAGGAAGGCTCGTGCAACGGGCATTACGAGCGCTACGGGCGCTTCGTGATGAAACGGGCAGGCGCTAAGGGCGCTACATGATGGAACGAACAGTCACAAGAGCCGAGAGCGTTCAAGAGTCCACAAGTGAACTTCCGTCCAAAAAAAAAAAAAAAAAAAAACGCTTCCGAACGTTGTTCAAACCGCGGACCTCTTTTAAACCCTATGTTACCTTCCAAACCCTAAACACTAGACCGCTGTTGATGAACCCTTTCGAGGATTGCACTACAAGGTCAAACAGTAACACAAATAAGAGCGTATTCCTACGACCTTCTATCTGAGGGACCTCATATCAGATTGGAACTGCTTGCCTGTAAATTGGCCAACTCGCTAGAACCTCGTATCAGGAAAAGTTGACAAACCCAGTAATGCGACTCGCAGTCAATGCTTACGGGTCATATTACGATCCAGCACTGTGCGCGCTTTGCCGCAGCTGAATATCGCGCCTCGATTTACATCGGAACTTGTGCCACGTAAGAACAACTGTTAGAGAACGAGCTTAAGTGAAGTTGAGATTTAGGGCGGCCTAGGCTTAGTAGCCTAGGCCAAGTAGAAGACGAGAAGGTTGTGCCAAGGTGAGAGTGTCGAGAGAATTGGAAAAGGTGAATGTTCACTATAGTGCTAGGGTACATATAGTAAACAGAGCATGCAAAGAAGGTGCACCACCAATTGTTTATAATAACTACACTAAACTACAGCTATAGGCAGTTACATATAAAATCTGACAACAACCACACCTCTGCCCCTTAGTCTAGAATTCTCCGCAGCGTGTTCGTTTCACGCTCACCACACCATGCGGATAAACTCTACAACGGTGGGAGCTAGACTAGCGTAGCTCTATGAGCTCTATGAGTGATCGTAGCTTCCCTAGCGTTCTCTAGCACTTGTGCATTCACGGGGCAATTTAGCAAGAGTTTCCACTTGGAAGTTTGCATTAAAATGATTGGTACAACAAGGCAAGAATGGCTACATTAGAACTTGGCAACCTAGTAGGGCAGCTGGTCGACTGCCTGCGCAGCATGGTCGACCGCCTACCAGCGTTGCATAGAGGAGCTGCGCCAGCACTGCAGAAAGGCGGTCTGCCAACAGAGCAAGTCGATGGCGTGCCAATGCTGCAGCAAAGCGGCTGTCCAGCGTTGCACGCGTAGAAGACAGCAGTAGGTGCGCGCAAACGATTGGCCCGACATGCACCATCACGAACTTGTCGGCTGCTATCTGCGCTTAACGAGCCGCATCGACCTCGGGATACCAGCCTGAAGTCGCGACCTCGACATCGTTCGCGTGCCTCCGCAGAACTCGCCGAGCAGGTTATCTGGTCGACACGTTCGACCACCCAGTGCTCTGGTCGACCGCCACCCTCGTCGACCATAGCTCCCGCCTCTGTCGACCAGCGCCGTCGCCGAGCTCCCCTCGTCGACGGCCGCTCACAAGTCCCACGCTGCCGAATTAGGCCGCCGGATCTCATCGACAGCGGCATTGCAGCAGTCGCCTGTAGGTCGACAACACCGTCGATCAGCACGTGTCGAACCTTGTAGTCGGCCGCACCACCTACGCGCCCGACTAGGAAGTCAGCGTCGTCCAAGCGAGGGCGGGGCCAACAACTAATTCCTGTTAACACGGGACAGGGAAACGCGCCGGCGTGCGGGCAGGGCAGCGCGACGCGCGGGGCAGGGCAACGCAAAGGCACGGGCAGGGCACCGCGACGATGTGCGGGCAGGGCAGCGCGACGCGTGGGTAGCAGTGATGTTCGAGGCGCGGGATAGTGGGGCAAACCTAACCTAGTCGTAGGTTCGGTAGTAGGACCCAACCTAGCCTTTGATACCATGTCAGACTGAGAACAGCGGAATGGTGTGTGATTAGCAACAATGGGATACAAGTATGCAACCCTACAAGGGCTGTACCCTATGTCAGATTATAATGCATGTCTAGTCTGTAGTGGGGTACTCAAAAGTGAGTATAACCCTTTTAGGGCTTACTACTTGTATCCCCCTCCTTTCTAGTGAACCACATTCTCCTTCCACAATTCTCTCGACATTTTTTCTTACACCCTACACCCTCGAACTTCACCAAGTCACCTAAGCTACTATGGCTCCTAAGCCTACTACACTCTAGAAATTTATCATGGTATCAGAGCTTAAAGCTCCTGGCCTGTGGGCCCACTTGCTTCCGCTGCCCTACTGTGTGTCGCGCGCCCCGTGGCGCGCGACATTCTATTTTTCTTCCCGCCACGCGCTCGGAACGCGTGGCGGTTTTCTGCCCGCCGTGCGCCCCGAGGCGCGCGGCAGGCTCCTACCTCGTCGCGGCGTCTTGGGGGCCCGCGCACTGGCCCTGACCGTCGCCTCGTCGCGGCGTTTTGGGGGCCCGCACGCAGGCCCCTCCCGTCGCCTCGTCGCGGCACTTTCGGGGCCCGCGAGCCGGCCCCTCCCGTTGCCTCGTCACGCCGCCTTAGGGGCCTGCGCACGGTCCCCTCCCGTCGCCCGTCGGGGCACTTTCGGGGGCCTGCGCGGCTCCCTAGCACGTCGCCCGTCAGGGCACCCTGGGGGCCGCGCCCTTCCCCTCCCCTCCCTCCTAATTTCCGCTGCAGCAGCAGCCCCTGGAGCAACCGCCCCAGCAGCAGCAGCACCTGGAGCAGCCGCCCCAGCAGCAGCAGCCCCTGGAGCAGCCGCCCCAGCAGCAGCAGCCCCTGGAGCAGCCGCCCCAGCAGCAGCAGCCCCTGGAGCAGCCGCCCCAGCAGCAGCAGCCCCTGGAGCAGCCGCCCCAGCAGCAGCAGCCCCTGGAGCAGCCGCCCCAGCAGCAGCAGCCCCTGGAGCAGCCGCCCCAGCAGCTGCAGCCCCTGGAGCAGCCGCCCCAGCAGCTGCAGCCCCTGGAGCAGCCGCCCCAACAGCAGCAGCCCCTTGAGCAGCCGCCCCAGCAGCAGCAGCCCCTGGAGCAGCCGCCCCAGCAGCAGCCGCCCCAGCAGCAGCCCAATACAGCTTACAAGCATATAATGCATTTTTACACTAACAGTAGTCAACAACAACCCTAGACCAACACCCCATCTCGCCTTCCGAGGTCCCCGCCTAGACAGTTCCCTCGATATACCTATGCTTTATTGTACTGTGAATGATTGTTTTGAAGCTTCGTTATTGAGTTCCACTCACTCTCTAATTCACAACTCATACCGTCATCGCCCGGATATAAGACATATATGTCTTATCTCATACACTAAAAAAATGCTTGGGTTATCTTGTATTTGGGGAGGTTTTTGGGTGTCTTATAAGTCTTACAAATGGAAACTTTTTTAAACTGCTTAAAAATATTTTCACACATCTTGAAAAGAGTTTCTCATTATGAATGTGGATGTTGCGAAGGTGCCACTTCGGCAACCATTGTTCGGGGCGCCACGTCATGGAGAACACTTGCAGAGGCAAATTTGGTAGTACGTGAGTCAGCACGTGGCAGAATTCGCGTGTCGCAAGGGTAAAAATGTACGCGGTACTTCAATTTTCACTATAATATTTTGCAGTTTCGATCATAAGACACATATGTCTTATCTCGTACACACAAATAGGTGTCTTATAATGAGGCTAGCCTGTTTATAAGAGACACCCGTATAATAGACGACCCCTGTCTACTATTCAACACTGTCTTATATCCGGGTGATGACGGTAAAATTTCGTCTCATAAAACATCTTACGGTATGAGTCGTATCCAGCGTTCTTTCATCCTGATTGAGAAGTCAATAAGACAGCCATCCTTACTTTTGGATGTATTTTTTTTAATGAGACAAGACTCTCAGACATTTTATTGGGGGAAACACAGCACGCATATGTCGTCCAGAGTGCAAGAGACAGCAGGCCGAGGACTCAAGGACCAGCAACAGTGCGACTACCAGCGGGGAGAAACGTTGACACTAAGGAAGCCGCGGCGCATCTTCCCCGCGGTGCAGCGCAGCGAATCGAGCAGGAAGGACCAGGACGACCCGAGCGCACCGATGAAGTAGTCCGCCTCGCCCGCCAGCAGCAGGTTCACCAACGCATTGTCCGTGCTGCGCTGCACTCCCAATGCTCTCTCGTATGCAGGCATGCTGTCGTTGCCCACCATGCGTGGCACTGCTGTGGTGAACCACCTCCACCCGCCCATGCCGCTCAGCTGCTCCACCACCTGGTGTGCCATGATGGTGGGGGAGGGGGTTTCAGGAACAAGCAAGGAACAAATCTGTGTGCGACATATTCAAGTTTCAAGTGCGACTCACTGAAAGCTCCACATAAGCACCACTCCTCACACTACCAACTTGCAATTGGTGCACTGTGACCCAAGTCACCCGCATTCAACCCCCAGGCAGGCAGCAACACGGCAGCACCATGGTAACTCACGGGCTGCATCTCAGTGGCGAGCCACACGAAGCGGGCGTGCGGGTCGTGGCGGCGCACGCGCAGCAGCAGGCGCACGTACTCCGCTGCGCCCGCCACTCGCATCTCGCGCCCCTTGTCGCCCATGCGCACGTGCATGCTCACCAGCGCCCGTGGCACCCACGGCACCCGCACCCGCCACCACAGCTGCCGCTCCATGGGGCCTGGGAGAGGCCATTGGGGGAAGGGAGGAGAGAGAGGGCGGGACACGTGTGCACTAGTGCAGGGAGGCACGGTGTACTGCAAGCACAGTGGGCGCCCATGGTGGCACTCCATGGGATGAGGAAGGGTATGCCGACAGAGGCCATACGGGAGAGGAGACGTTGGAGGGAGAGAAAGGAAAGGGGGTTGGCACATGAGAGCAGTATGGGACGAGGCAGCAGTGAGCGGCAGCTCAGAGCATCCCCAGTCGCACCCTAGAAGTCCATGCGAGACAATGCGTGGGAGCTGTGGCAGTGCGTGGGGGCCATGGCTTACGGGACGAGGTGGCAGTGAGTGCAGCATCTCACCAGGTGCGATTTTCCACAGTGAGCTGCTGTCAGATGGACCAGCGGTCAGTGCAGCAGAGGCACGCAACCCAGTGTTTGGCATCTCCCCATCTCCTAAAGCCTGATCTTCCTCTGCTACAGTAGCGTCAGCCTGTGCCACAGCCACGTCTGCCTGAGCTAAACCCTGTGATAGTACCACGTCCGCCTGAGAGGCAGCGAGCTCAGCCTGGGCGACAGCAGCAGCGGCGAGGCGGCCATAGGACAGGTGGCGCTGGGCGTTGAGCAGACGGCAGAGGCGCGGCGAGGGCGCTCTCAGGAAGAAGCGCGCCGCCTGGGCGCGCCACCAGCGGTGTGTGTTGCTGCGGAGGGGCCGCGGTGGGGGAAGGGTGGACGGGGTGAGGGGAGAACAGTGCATGGTGCAGCGAGTGGGATGCTGGGGTGAGCCAGAGCAGGGACTAGTCTGAGGCGGCATTGATGGCAGGCGGTGGCATGCGCATGAACAGGTGTCCGCTGTGGAGACACAGCGAGAGAGGAGGACGGTGCGAAGCAAAGGCTTGGAGAGAGGGAGGGAGGGAGGGAGGGGGGGAGGGAGGGGAGGGACTGAGGCAGCTGACTTCATGCGGTTGGTGACGATGAGGCGCCCCTCCGCCTCCACCACGCCCGGGATGGCCAGCCATGGCTGCCCCCACCGCGACGGCACCGCTGGGAAGAACAGCGGCCGCGTTCCCCTCTTGCGCCGCCGCTGCCTGCCACCCGACTCCTCTTCCCCCCCATTCTCCCCCTCTGCCCCCTCTTCCTCCCCTCTGCCCTGCTCATCCCCCTGTCCCTCCCCTGAGCCTCCCGCCTGTTGAAAGGGCGTGGGGGCGGCGAGGGAGGGGTGCTTGGTGGTGGCGAGCAGCGGGTGGGCGCCTTGGAAGGACGCGGCGCGCCGGGCCAATGAGTGTGCGCGGCTGGCGGGAGGGCAGGGCAGGGATGGATGGGTTGTGAACCGCAGTGCAATGAGAGCGGGCGGGCTTGCACACTTTTGATTTCTTAAAGGTGTGTTTGAATGCCATACATCTAGCACCCTTCCTGCCACCTGACATGCCTTCGTGCCTGCCCTGCCTCAACTCTTCACTTGCAACACGCCTCACCGCCTGCACTCGCCTCACCGCCTGCACTCGCCTCACCGCCTGCACTCGTCGGACGTCTCTGCAAGGAAGTAGCAGCGCCACTCGCCGCGCATGCCCTCGCGCTCACACCCCTCGTGCTCCGCGCGCTCAAAGCCCCCCAGCAGCCCCACGCCCCCGCGCCCCCTGCCCCTCGCCCCCGCATGAGCAATGACCAGCACCCTCCTGCTGCGCACGGCCAGCGCCAGCGCGCCCGCCAGCAGCGTCATCTGCGTTCCCAGCCCATGCCGCGCGCTGCCCTCTACTGGCGCCAGCAGGAACCTGCGGAGGCGAGGGCGACGGGGACAGGCGGGGACAGGCAGGGAAGCTGAGGGCGGGTGGCATGGTGAGGGCGAGGAGGTGGGTGCTCAGCACGCAGCGCAGCGCCCCCGGGGGTGCGCCGGAGCCACTCGCCTTACAGCGGGGTGGGAGCAGTTGCGCGGGAACTGGTGGCGCCAGAGGTCGCGCTGCACAAGGCGGGTGAGTGGGTAGTTGTCCGCGTCTGCACCCTCCACCCACGGCGGAAACGGCCCTTCCACCACCGCCACATCCCCGCGCGCCTCTCCTCTCCGCTCCGCCACATCCTCCTCTCTCCGCACTGCCCATGCGCTGCTCCCGCCTATCTCACTCTCCCTCTTGCCCCCTTCACCTTCTCCCCCTTTTTCCGCGTCCCCACTCCCCTCCCCCTCCCTCTCCCCGACCCCCTCCTCCGCCCCCTCCCCCTCGCCCGCGCCCGCATAGCGTCGGAGGGCGGCCCAGGGCGGTTCGGAGCCATCGGCGGGGCGGCTGGCCCAATGCTCCTCCGCGTGCACGCGCGCATTGGCCGTGCAGTCCGCCAAATGCGGCGCCGAAACCAGCGCTGCTGGTGATGCTGCAATTCCGGGCGGAGGTGACGCGACGAGCTGTCTGGAGCCTTCCGTGTCGCTTGCGACTGGATCTGGGACGGTCGGCGACGACCTCGCGAGCTGAGCAGCCCATGAGGCCAGCAGTTCGTCAACTCGTCGCTGAAGCTGCTCGTGCGACGCTGGCGAATCTTGCGACGCTGGGGATCCCTTCTGCTCTCCCTGCGACTCCAATCGATATTGCTCCTCGACCGAGTGGATCGCGATGTGCTCCACGGCGACGGGCTGTCGCACGAGAAGGAGGAGAAACACGATGACGGGGAGGCACAGCAGCGCGGCGTGGAGCGGCGAGCGGAGGAACGAAACGAGGGGCTTGGGAGCGGCGAGAGACAGGAGGGATGTCGCGATGGTGGACGCCACGCGGTCACTGCTAGCTCCGTCCCTCTCGGCGGCTCCCTGACTCTGCGCTTCCGACGCCGGCATCGCACACACGTACTACCACAATGAAAGCATAATATGATCACTCGTTATGGAAGCACCAAGTCGCCGCTCGTCGACAGACGGTGAGGGCAAAGGTAAGACATGCATGTGAGTACTAGGGTTAGGTAAAAACGCGCACACATGACTGCTTTTCTGTCGGTCGACAGAAAATCCTTCCCCCAAGGACGAAGGGCGAAGTGTTGACCAAAATCCAGTTTCGAAAACTTTCATTAGAGTTTTGAGTGCTGTAGTGTTACGAGTGCAATTGAGCGAGCGAGTGAGAATTGCACTCTCACAAGATTATAATTTTTAAACACACATGTAGTGTTTTTTAAAATTGTGTATTGTGAAAGCGAAGCTGCTTGTACTGCACAATTGGCATCGTCGAAGCGCGCTAAACGCCCTTCTCCAACTACAAAAACCGTGGGTTGGAGCTCATTTCCCTCCACCCACGTTTCTCAATTTTCAAACGGCTCACTCAACATTTTCCGCTCGAGTAGTTTTTCCCTCCAAGCTGGCTAGGATTAAATCGCTTCCTAGAGGCGAGTCACCCTCTACTTTACTCAGCGACATTTTCAACTTCAATCGCTCAACGATGGCACCTACGCCGACACTTAACAACGAGAACTCGTCAACCCCCGCTTCCGACTCCGACCGTAACGCCCGCGATTCTGCGGGCGAACGCCGTAACAAGCGTCGGGCAGAAGACGGACCTTCCGCCCCGACTGCAGTGGACGTGCTGCTGGGCGGGCTCGAGGTCCACAAAAACGCCGAAACCCAGCAGCACCCTTCGGTCCCTGTGGCGCCAGTGGCGCCTGTGGCGCCAGTGGCGCCTGTGGCGCCAGTGGCGCCTGTGGCGCCAGTGGCACCTGTGGCGCAAGTGGCGACGGGGACTGGCGCGGCACACGCGACTGACGCCGAGCACACGCCAGCACCCGCTGCTGGACCGTCGCGTCAGCGTCAGAGGAGGCGGACTGCAGTCTCCTCGTCTGACGCGACCGCCGCCCCTGCGCTGACGCAGGCGTTGACCCCGGACCAGGTCAACGCGCTGCTGTCCCTTCTACAGCAGCAACCCGTCAGCGTTACAGCCGCGGAAACTGCACTACCCGCCGCATCTGCGTCGGCTAAAAAAGAAACTGCAAAAAAGGAGAAAGGCACACGGGGAGCACGGACGAACCGGCATGACAACGACGCAGCGACTGCCGCTCCCCCTGCTCCAGCGGTCGACAACGACACCGACGACTCTGAAGATGAAGCCGGTGAGGCTCCAGTCAACAATGTTAATTTTATTGGCACGGAAAACCTTCCCCCCCTCCCTTCTTCTAATCTTACGTTCTCGGCGGCAACCTTCGTCAACGACTCCGTGCGAGAGCAAGCGGAGCTACTGGAGGACCTGCGGGCGTACCTGCTGCACGCCGAATACAAGGCGCAGCGCGGTGATCCGGCGGGCGGACTCGAACTCATCTCACACGCTCTCAACCTCATCGCGGGGCGTTTCGAGGTGCTTCAAGTGGAGGACGCCTCCGACTTTCGCACGGCGAAGCGCTTTAAGCTGTACCAGCAGAAGCGCCTGCTGACTTCTCGACCCTTCAAGCAGGCGGTCGCGGACATGGCGGCGATGGACCGTGCGGCAAGCGGATACGCTCGTGTCAACCGCGGCGGAAACCACGGGCCGATGCCGTTCTTACCCAAGCGAGCCCCCCCGCCCACGGCCAATTGCCGTGGGTTCCGGGGCTCATGCTTCCGCTGCGGCCAGCCGGGCCACGTGGCAAGTGCCTGCCCTCGGAACGGGCATGGAGGCCAGGGACCCGCTCCGGTGGTGTAGGAGCGGGCCATGAGACTAGGCGCTTGGGCGCTAGGCACGGTGCACTCTTGAGTGCGAAAACCGTGGGCAACCCTAGGGGTTTGCGATGGCAAGAGGCCAGCCCTAGTAAAGGGTGGGATAGGCTTGGGCCTAGGATAGGGAAGGGGAACAACAACCCCTCGGTCCCATATGTTGGCCACTTGGTGGCATGCTAGGAAAGCATTGCTATGTGTGTTGGTTGATTTAATAAAAACTACCTTCCTAAAGGCCTATGGTTTTGGCAAAGAGACTATGAAAAGCAAGAGGAGGAGCAGAGAGAGAGAGAGAGAGAGAGAGAGAGAGAGAGAGAGAGAGAGAGAGAGAGAGAGAGAGAGGGAGGGAGAGAGAGAGAGAGAGAGAGAGAAAGAGAGAGAGAGAGAAAGAGAGAGAGAGAGAGAGAGAGAGAGAGGGAGAGAGAGAGAGAGAGAGAGAGAGAGAGAGAGAGAGAGAGAGAGAGATAAGAGAGAATGAGAGAAAGCACAATGGACAACGGTGTCCATGGCCCTAGGCATCAGCCCCTACGCACTAAGGGCAGGCACAACCATGTCCTACCAAGTGGACGACGGGGCAAGAAAAAAAAAAAAAAAAAAAGGGGAAACGAGGAGAAGAAGAGACATGCGTTGACATGCGTTAACATTCCCGACACATTCGTTGACATTTCATTCAATTGTTCATTCTCTTCACACCTTCGATCAATGGTTGCCCGTACAAGTACATGCACACGCATGCTTTAACGTGGAATACTCAAAGCTTATACCACTTGGCCTCAAATGTACAGGAGCACGACGGTGCGAGGCGGCATGCCACGACGATCCGTACGAATTTGCCGTTACAGACAGAACTATTACACACATGCGCGGTCGTCCTCGCGCGACATTTGCGTGGTGGAGCTCATGGTGCCCCAACAGCCTTGTCCTCTCCGTCATCGCCAAGGGTTACTGGTTGCCATGGAGCCACGGCCCACCGCAACATTTCCACGATCACAATCATGTCGGGGCAAACACGCATGCCACGTTCACACGTACCGCCATCCAAGAACTCATAGAGACGGGAGCGGCAATTCCGATGGCCGCAACGGAGCTTACATGCATAAGTCCACTCAACGTGGTCGAGCAAAAAGACAAATGCAGGCTCATTCTTGATCTGAGGAAAGTCAACGCCAACTTGATCATCCCCAAGTTCAAGTACGAAGGGCTCAGCCGCGTCGCCGACCTTGCGCGCGTTGGGGACTGGATGTTCTCCATTGACCTCAAATCTGGTTACCACCACATCGACATCCACCCATCGTGCTGGAAGTTCCTTGGCTTTGAATTTGATAAGCGCACATACGCATTCCGTTCACTACCATTTGGCCTCGCGACAGCTCCATTCGTTTTCACGCAGCTCATCAAGCAACTAGCTCGGCGTTGGCGAGAACAAGGCATCCGAGTCGTACCTTACGTGGACGACATCTTATTTCTCTGCCAGTCGAAAGAGGACGCGCAAGCAACTTGCCAGCGGGTGATATTGGATCTTAAAGAGGCAGGCCTTGTGATAAACGCGAAGAAATCACTACTGTCACCATCGCAGCGTCTCCGATTCCTGGGCGTAGAACTCGAGACCGATACCGGCCGATTCTCCATCGGTCCGGACCGACGAGCCTCACTACATGCAACCATCCGGAACCTCCTGAGCGCAAGCAAGGCATGCCGACCAGTCCCGGTCCGCCACGTGGCCAGAATCACTGGCATGCTCGCATCGATGGGTGTCGCACTTGGCGCGACAGCTCGCGCATTCAGCCATGCTATGTTACAAGTGATCGACGACGCACCGTCATGGAAAAGCAGCGTCGTTATCCCCCCATCTGCAGCAGAAGAGCTCCAATTTTGGCTCGAGGAGTTCGACCGTTTCAACGGCACACCTTTTCACGTCAAGAACAGCTACGACGCGGTAATCCACGTGGATGCCAGCTCTCATGGTTGGGGCACCACTCTGACCACATTTCCGGGTGGCATCGAAGAAGCTAGCGCAACCATGTCAGAGCCGCTACGAGGAACGTCCAGCACGCGACGGGAGATCGAAGGCGTCCTTTGGGCGCTACAAACGTACGCGAACAAGATCAAGCAAAAACACGTTCTCGTGCGGGTGGACAACCAGGGCGTATTCTTCATCCTTCGCAAAGGCGGTTCTCACAGCCCCGACCTCACAACGGCATGCAAAAGCATCATCCGAACATGCATGGCGCTTGGCACGCGCTTGATCATTGAATGGATTCCGCGCGAGCTCAACACACACGCCGACGAGCTTTCAAAAATGGTCGACCACGACGATTACGCGCTGAAAACGCCGTGGTTCCGGATCTTGGAACGTCGTTGGGGTCCTCACTCCATCGACCTTTTCGCAAACTCCCGCAACACCCAACTGCCGCGCTTCTGTTCAAAGATTCCCCACCCGGCAGCCATTGCAGTTGATGCGTTCTCGATCGCGTGGACACCTGAAAACAACTTTGCCTTCCCCCCACCTCAACTGGTCCCAGCCGTCCTCCATCACGCACAACGCACCCATGCATCACTCACACTGATAGTTCCGCACTGGCCAGGCGCAAGCTGGTGGCCACTCTTGCAACCCTCCCCACGCACTTGGGCACCACACATCCACGCGCACATCCCTCTGACACACGGAAGCCAATGCCTAGACGTAGGGTCCCATTCAACTGCTTTTTCGGGCATGGGACTACCGCACAGCCCAATCATTGCACTGCGAGTGGCATTTGACTAATTCAAAATATATACACCTTGTGTTCAGATTTGCTCCCAAAGTTACACGACCAACTGATCAACATGCTCGCGCAGTCCCGCGCCGATTCTACGATCCGGACATATGAACCATACTGGGCCAAGTTTCGAGCCTTCTGCACAAAAGTGAACCTCCCATTCCTCCCGGCATCCGACATGACCCTCGCGCTATACCTGGTACACGCAATCCGACGCAAAGCCACCCTGTCCGTAGTGCAGCTAACCTGCTCGGCGGTCAGCTTCGCCCATCGCATGACCGGGAGCAAATGCCCGACAACCGGACCGTTCACCACCCAAGTCCGTGACTATGCAAAGCGACACTGCCCACGCCCTACTCGTCTGAAGGAACCCGTCTCGATCCAACAAGTCCAGGAAATGGCCGCCAG